ATATATTATGGCATGAGCCACATGGCAGTTGAACAGACTGGAGCAATATTTGATATTTCCGAAAAGACAGTTCCTATGAGAAGATCCTCAGGGACTTATCTGGGCAATATCTGTGCTAGAATGTAACCATACACACTCTGTAAACAAAAGTTATGTCCGACCCAGCAACACCTGACTGTAGTCCTACTTATCTGTATCTTGACCCCATCATCCCAGGCACGATGTCTAAATTAATTGTGTCCTATAAAGATAAGCCATCCTGTCAGAATTGTTTTGTTGTTTTTCTAAACAAGATAACATCTCAATTGCACCTTGGCAAGCCGCACTGGTAAGTTCACTATATTGGCACATAGAAAATTAGACATTAGAACAACAAAAACAGCTCTTTGAGTCAGCAAGGAGCTGGGTCTCACTATCGGAACAAGCGGCCTGGGAGAGCAGCTAGGCAGGGAGCATGATCATGATCCACCTTCTTAAAGCGATTGGCAGATGGTCTCTTCTAAAGCCATCCATAGAGCTGGAAGGAATAGCTGTAGCTAGGGGCTTTTCTCCTTCCCATTCCAGAAAGTCTGCTGAGTACTCAGGACTTCGGACCTCTTTGGGTAACAACAAACTAAACTTTTCAACAGAGTTCTTCACACTGCAGAAGTGCACGACATGCACTAAAAAGGGCCTCTCACCATCTTGTCTCAAGGTAGCGATACCCGAAAATCATCTTCTTTTCTACCTCAAAGCCTATATAAACTAATTTTCAATTCATATGAATATTCAATAGAGGCATATTTGTTTTCCTGATAAAATCTATACATAGCATTCAGTAATCTTCAGGAATGTAAGGATGGTATCATCCTCCTATAAGAGAGTACTCTTTTTTTCTGTTCCAAGCAAATGAACAAAAGCCAAAATAAATGGGCTTGTGATTTGTTCCATCCCACTTCCTCTTCACTTCTTAACTTTTCAAGTCTGTTACTTTCTGGCCTGTGCTAGATCCTTGTCAAGATATTCTGCTGTGCTGCAATGATGTTTTGGAGCACAGGACATTGTTAGGCTGCCATGATGCAGTGTGAATCAGGGGATAACTCAGGACTACCCTGAAGTCAGTGGAGGTAAAGTGCATCTCCTCCTTGTTTGCCCCAAGCTCTCCAAAAGCCCAGAGAAGCTTTGGAATTGTTTGTCCTCAGATAGACCCAAGTTCAGAAATAATAAACTCTTAACAAACAAACTTGTTTTTCCTAATAGGAGCAGTTGGTCATGGGAAGATTTGCAGTGGGATTCAGGGTAGCCTGAGCTCCAGCTGTAGAGCTATTGATTATGTGGGACAAGAATTCAGGCTCACATTTTTCAGTACTAGATGTCTAACGTAGTATGAGGTTAGATAACCATGGCATGTACTCATCACCCTGATCGACAAAACTTCAGACATATTTTTAAACATTTTTTTAACATCTATTAACTTATAACAACATATGATTCAGTTTTGTTTCGCTTCACCTGCCTCTACTTCCAACAGGAAGTAGAAGGATCCCTTGAGGAATTCCTCATTGTCTTTTGTGATGTTTTACATAGCACAGTGCTTTTCCAAATAAACTTCCTCTTGATGGCCACCATGCAGTGTAATTCACAAGGGCAAGTTAGGACCCTGTAAGAGATCTGCAGGGCCCTCTAAAAGCGTTTCTGGGAAAAATGAAACACTTATTCTAACAGATGAATTCACAAACAAAGGAGTTATTCATAGTTTTATCGTAGCTTGGACTGAGGGTGTGAAAATATTAAGAAATTTTATCACTGATTTCTAGTCAAAGCTTACAAAACACAGTTGCTTTGCAAGTCTTGTTTTAGCTGGTGAATATGTTTTAGTTTAAGTCAGTGGGACCTAATATGAGCTGTGAGAGTGGTAGCTACATCAGCCTTTCAGGCAGGCAGTTAAAACTGTGCAAGGATTAACAAGTCTTGGCTCTAAGTGAAAGGTTCGCAATTTCTTAAAACAGTGCTGATCTGCAGACTTTTCTTTTGTGAGTCTGTCCAAGTCCCTCTGAACTACGCAAAAGGCAAACAAAAACCAGCAAGCGAATGGATCTGTGGAATCCAAGTCTATAACTGACATGACACCCAGCGCTTCCTGAAGTCCCTATTGGGGACAGTTGCACTTCCACAGGCATGGGGACAGGAGCAGCTTTCTGCACCTGCAGAGACCCCGGAGACAAGGAGAGGCTTCACTAAGCACTTCCACGATCCCCCTGAAGCTCACAAGCTGCCATTGAACAGCTGGGCACAGGCTTCTCTCCAGCACATTAGCGTATGTGACTGTTTAAATAACTTCTTAAACGATTTAAATTATTTAAATTACCTCAACCATCTGCACGAAGGCAACTAGGGGGGTGAAAAATTATACTGTGAATTTTCCATGGTGACTTCTAGCATACGAAAGCAATTAAAATACAAAAGTATTTCTGTTGAAGAAGAATGTAAAAAGCACGTTTCCTTCAGAATGTTAAATTCAAGAAGCACTGTTTATTTGAAATCAGGCCATTTTAAAATAATGATTGAAAGGGCTTCCAGGAATTTTCTCACTTCCTGAGGATCCTAGCTGCTGATATCGATGCTTTTAAAATAGCATTTTCTTTTCGTAAATGCTTTTCTCTTCCTTGTGGTAAACAGTAGAATAAACTGACTCACAGCTTAGTGACACTAAATGCATGACACTGTAAAAGAGAGAAACTATCTTTCTTCCATTCTCCATCTGCTGTTGGCAGTTGAAGAGTTACTTATAGCAACTGTAGGAAAAAAATTCATGCTGCTATAGAAATTGCTAACAGTGGACTCACTTGGAGATCTTGGCTTTATTTGTAGACATTTCCAAACATTACTTGTTCTTTTTTTGGGGCCTGTTTCAAAATCCATCTAAACCAAAGACAAGACTTCCATTAATTTCAATGGCTTTGGAGCTGATCCATAGAGTGTAGCCTGTGGCACCTCCAGCTCTGACATATTTAGCAGTAGGCTCATGTAGTCAAATTCCCAACTGTAGAGAGAGAACTGAAAGATGCTACAGAATCATCCATCACAAATGCGAGAGTCAATGTCACTTACCAGGAATCCACAGTTCCCTATCCCTGAGTAAGATCCATTTAAGTACATTCTGCTTCATACCTTTGTTTTCAGAAACAAGACATGCTTCTCGTAACTGTAAGGCCAAAATGGTAGGGCTGGCTGCCAGCTTCTCCAAAGCCAGGCAGGTCAGCACGGCCCATGGAGAAGCACAAAACAAACAAACAAAACATGAAAATATACAGTGGTCAAGTAATCGAACAGAAGCTGCTCCCAGCTCTAAGTTTGGTAATAGTTTGAATATAACACAGTTCAGTTTGGGGGCGTGCCAAACTGAAACCTATGAAGTTTTGGATGTAGCCTAAAAGAGACTTTTAATCCGTGGGCATTCCCAACAGATACAGATGATAATCATGGTTACAGGGTCTGCTCTAGGTAGGGGATGGCATCAACTGGGCCAGATTCATCCACATAGCAGCAGGTCTGAATCTCAGCTGTTCTATTAGCCCTTCCTAGTAATCAGACAAAAAAGCAGATTCCACATTAAAGCAAAAACAAAAAAAACAAAACAAACAAACAAAACAAAACAAACAAACAAAAAACCCTCCTGAAAGCTGACAGCACCGTCCTGCTTTATCCACCTGAGCAGGATAATCATGAACTGGAAGTCCAGAAGAGTTTGGAGACTGAAGATTATTTTTAAACGCTTACTAGATGCAGTGTGCATACTTTACTTTGCAAGAAACCTTGACGCATTAGAATAGAGCAGTAGCAGAGGCTGGGATACTGTGCATTAACATCAGGTCAATAGTGCAGTACAGTTGGCATTTCTGCACTGGAGCAATTCAGCTACAAATCACTGCTTTCTGCAGCTCTGAAATGCTGCAGCAGGGCCCTCTGATACTTCTATAAATATACATGTGTGCTCTTCCAGTGTCAGGTTATAGTGGTATAAATTAATAATAATAATATCAAATTAATGGAGTTACACTAAGGACAGGAGGATCACAATAGCTAAGGATTCCTATTTGTACCATGTCTCTGTTGATCCAATGGCCTTGTAAACCTGAGGGTGTCTTTTGCAAGGACATTCAGAAGCATTTAAGGGTTTCAGCTCCTAAATGTTGCTGGGCTGGCTTCCCAAAATCCATCAGCAGCCTTTGGAATGTGCAAGCAGTTCTGATGATCATGGCAGAATAATTTTTAAATGACTGTTTTAACTTTTAGCCTTCTCTTTTATCTTCTGGCAGGTATAAATAACGCAGCCATATACAGTTCAGCAGCTTAGCTTTAAAGGGAGCAGGAACATTTCACATAGGGTGTGAAATTCTAAACAGAAACAGCACTTCAAAATGAGGCTTAATTGGGGGACAGAGATTAACCTGGTTATGTGTAAACAGACGGGCAGGATGAATTTGATACAATAATTATAGACATTACAATAGCATCCAAAAGAAGAAACTCAGATAATTATATTGAAACAATAACAATTATTAAAAATAAAGCAATCCAAAACATTTAAAAGAATCTAGAGGGCCACTATGTGTACTCCATCTCATGATTCCTTGTGTTTGTGAATTCTCATTTTCCTCCTCTCATTTTTGCTATTATATTTCACTGTTGTCGTAAAAACCTCGAGCTTTAATGTTCACACAATAACTCCTTTGACAGATGAGCGTTATCTCAGCTTCCCATATGTGCAGTCGCAACATATATCAACTTTATCTTCTCTGCTCATGAGGAAAGTAATATTCTAATGACCTCTCTGCAAACTGGCTTATTTTGAAGGAAATATTTATACAATGGGCCTCACAATGGCTATTTGCAGTGACTTAGCATCAACACCTGGCATGTGTGTCCTCAGACGTAATCACTATTATATATTAAAAGCAATCTGCTTCATGTTCTGTTGCTGCTATTGTTGCAAGCAGCAAAGGAGAAATATTGATGACATGACAAGGATGACACCTCAAGCCTTTGAAGACAGCAGCAAAAAGAGAGGTGAAGCAATAAGGAAGAGCAGTGCCACACAGGGCACAGAGCTGAGAATGTGGCTTGCAACTGCAATTCTAATTGCTGCTGCTGTATGCTGGGCTGGGGAGGAGGCAACTGTCGGGGAAGGAATTCCTTGCTCAAAGTACCAGATAGCTTTCAACCATTCATGCTATGAGTTTATCAGGCTGCAGCGCACCTTCATAAGTGCCCAGAGCTGGTGCGAGAGAGGAGGGGGGCACCTTGTCTTTATCAGAGATGAGGAAACTCAAGACTTCTTGCAAAAACATCTCTCTGAGGACCAGGAGTGGTGGATAGGACTGATCTCAAACTCCTTGCTGAATGAAACTTCTGACGGTAGGTGATTTTGTAATCCTATTTAGTACTGTATCAGTACACGATGCTTAATCTGACAAAAAATTAATCAATCCCTCTACAGACGGCTGCTGAAAAGCCATTTTTGTGTTGCTATAACTTCAGATTTATATTAATATGTTTCAAATAGCTGCTTCATTTTCCTGTTCCATGTTGTCAGTCTTTCAACTGGGTCATGTGGTTATATGAGCAAATGATGAATTATATCAGCTTGCTAAACCACGGGGAAGAATGTGCTGGATTAATGTTAATGTTGATGAGCAAGCCAAATCAATTCCTCACACTATTGAGTTGTAAGGTCTGCTGCAAGAGAAATGGTAGAGTTTTGAGGTTGGGAACATAGTGGGAATTGGCATCGTCTGAGTTCGTGGCAATTCTGAGTTAGTGGTTTTATCAGAATAAATGTAAAATTAAATTAAATACATTTTTATTTGTTCAGACAAACTACTTCTGCATAAGTGCAGTAAAAGCCTGCTCTGCAGGTTCTGACTCTTTAATTGTATTACTGTGGAAAATAAACATTCAGGACATGATTTACTTTGTTCACAGGGTCAGTGATTTGGCTGGACACTTCAAATATAAGCTACAGTAACTGGTATGTGGATCAACCATCTCCCTTCTCAGCCACATGTGGATACATCCTGAAGAATGCCAAGCATCAGTGGGGTATGACTGAAAACTGCAGCCAGGAATTTGGCTTCATTTGCGAATTTGGTAAGATACACAACAGTTGGAACAGAGAAGTGAACATATAATGTTCACAACTGTGCATTAACTGTTTCTTTCAAAGTGGCTGTGAGGTAACTGCAATAAAGTTTATTAAAAGTGAACATGCAAAAATCCATAATATCCCAGCAGGTGCTATTATTCCAGTTTGTTGATGTAAGATCGGATCCGAAGAAAGGAAGAACCCTGAAATCACTGGGTGCTGAGGGTGAATCTAAATCTGGAGCAGCAGACGCACATAAATTACCTAGGTAGCTTAAGCCAATTTGAATAGTGCCTAACAGCATGGTTGCAAGAACAATCTGCCACAACTCACTGGTACCTGAGCTAGATAGGAATGTATGTCAGTCCTGTAAGCTTATCCTTAATCACAAATACAAGCTGAGCCCCTCAAAATGTTTTCCATTTGTAACAGAAGCAAAAGCACGGTCAGGCTTCCAGAGACACTAGTCATAGTAGCTTGGACTAACCAGAAGTTGCCGGTTTCTTCTTAGGCTCTTCCATCAGGTGAAGTTTGAGGGTTTCCCCGGGACAAGAAGCAGACATGAACCTGCATTTCCTGATGGCATTTTAGCAGCTAGGCAGAATAAGTAGAGACATTGTGTTCCAGTGTTATAACATAGGTCCCTTAAATCCTGGCTTGGAACAAGCAGTCCTGGAAAGGAATGCTGGCAGTATCATCCCATTCAACACAGATATGAGGGGAATTTGTGTTTCTCACACTTTGCACGTAAGCGAAACATTTTAATCTGTAACTAGAACTAAGGTCACAAGTATTTGAAGGCTGTAGATTCACTAACACAAATAGTCCTTGAATCCAGGATGCAAGTACAGGTTACCACAAGCTCTAGCACTGCCCTGGTCCAGTGCTGTATCACTTCTGACATAACTAGCAGGGTGTGCCATAACCAGCAGAACCAATAAAATTTTGTTTCCTGCCCTGATTTTCCCTTCCCCATCCCTCCCTCTCCTCCTTTTATAACTCCCTGTTCAATCCCGTATCCCCAGCACTTCCTGCCTCTCCAAATACTTTCCCTCCCATGCAGTTCTGCAGTTGGTTCAGAGCAACAGCAGGGCACATTGGCTGGCTGAATCCTACACCATGAAATAGAAAAAAGTAGGGCTATCCCTCCTATGCCTCCTCCTTACAGTTATATTAAAGTATCTTTCTCTCTCTTCTACCCAACTATCATTTTTCGTTAGTTTTTCAGGGTGTTTGGAGGTCTGTATCCATACATCAAGCTTGGCTGAAGGTGACTAACAGATTAAAAATACTCTGGAGAGAAGAAACTGGCAGACAGCACCATCTTTTAAGCTTATTTTCCTTACAAAACCAGACTAAAATCATTTTTCCGTTACAACCATACCAGACAACTGTCTAAGGAAGCTATCATCTGTTAGCGTAGGATCTGACTGAAAGCCTATTAATTTAAAAGAGAGTTTGCATTAATGAGCAACAATATTCCCCACTACATCCATCATTCCGTTACCCAGGAACCTGAGAACAAATGGAGAGAATTACAGCCTTATTTTCAGTATCTACAGTCCATGTCCATTAAAACACACACATATTTTAGCACTAGAGTAGTCCCCCATTTCTCCCATCAGTTTGCACATGTGGCTAACATTGCAGAAAAATAGGGATGTGTTCATTAGTTTCTTAAAAGTTCATGCAACGTTCAGCTTTTCTTCCTGTCAGATGTGCATGATGGCACTTAATACTATCATGAGCCATAGCACAGCTACTGTGGCTCTTGGTTTCAGTCTGAATTGCAAACTTGAGCTGAGACGTACAGTTCAACTCCACATGGTGCTACTATTTGAACTGAATTCCTCTCTCATTACTGCTAACCTTGTTCACTTGATCATCTGTGGTGTGTCTATGTGCCCAGACCAGACAGAAAATGTTTTGCCATCATCCTTCCTTTGCCTCTCCATCGTTGTTTCTCTCCTCAAGCAAGAAGTTCTCTTCCCTCAGCTCACTGCTCCTTATTACGTCTGCTCCACTGTTTGGTTGGACCTTTGGTGCTCTTTAGGTTAACACTTTTGTTGTAGGAAAAGTATACCTACTGAACTAGGGTTTGCACATGGGAATATAAATCAAGTTTGTACATTTTTGCATGTAGAGCAAATACTATGGGAAACCTCTACACAGAGTAAAGAAAAGAAATTTTTTTAAAAAAGCAAGAGATAATAGCCTGTATTAGAATTTAACAACAAATTATTTTCCAGGCTTATTTAGAGAACTCTAATCTGTAAACTGATCATGTTGCTATAGTTACAGCAGCTTAGACTTAGCCTTTAAATAACAGTAACGCACAATTACTGCAGTGTGCACACACTGGCACTGTTAATGGAGGTATTTAAGGAGAATGATCAAAAGAGCAGTTGGAGAGCCATGTATTTAAACCTGGGACTGCTGAAACAATATTATTCTTCTACAACCCCTCTATATACAAGTATTTTTTGCATCCTCCCATTCAGAGCATTAAATATCCTAATTACCTCAGGGTACTGCAAATTCTGAAAGATAATTGGCTGTCCCAGATTAATCAAAGAATGAGCTATATGCATTTAGAGATATGACCTTACTCATTTGAGCAGTTCTTCTGCATGAAACCAGTTGAATGTTGCACAGAAACAAAGGTGTCTCTGTAGCAGGAATGGGATCTGCTCTCATATTTAATACGCAAACTTTTCTCCAGAACAGTTACCTGAAGACCATGCAGAGCACATTCTGCCACAGAGCTCTTTTGGAAATTATGAAAAGCTTTAAACTTTTCAGTACAACAGGTCAAAGACTAAATATTTCCCACAGAAACATGCTCATTCTTTTTAAATTACAATTTTGTTGTAATAAAGATGTCCACACATTTTTTAAGGCAGTAGAAACCATTTTTGGATTTCAAAAAATGGAAAAATGCATGATTTGTTGTTCTTTTCTTCAATTTCCTCTTTTTTTTTACTGAAAGATTCAAGAACAACAACAACAAAAAAGATGTACTGGAGAATTGCTTTTTTTTTTTTAATTCTAAATTTTGATGTACTTCAACCTCACAACAAACAAACAAGGAAACAAACAAAAAGCCTGAGAAACATCCTCCTGTTTTCTTTGTCACATATTAAAAAAAAAACACACATATAAGCTTAGCTCTAGTTCAGCACTACCTTCCAGAAAGGCAGTCCTTTAGTCTCGTGTCCTGATAACGACCAGGTTAAGATCAGCTACCCTGCTATACACAAATCTAGTGCCAATGGAGGTGGAAGGAGCAGACGCCTCAGCTATATGTCCTCATTTTAATGAAATCTATTTTTTCCCCCATAAGAATCTGGCCAGAGCATTGCTTGTAATAACTACAATGCCACTGTACAGTGTGGATCAGGTGAAGTTATTGAAATTGGAGAGAGCTTCTATGGGCGCAAGACCCCTCACTACTGTGTTTTGGAGACGCCTCTCCAGTATGATACAGACGAAGACTGTAGCTGGATCAGTGTCAAGGATGAAGTAGCAGGTAAGAGCTTGTAGCATTGCTTGTCAGAGGCACAGAATAAGCATCTTAAAGTTCCTGCTCCCTAAAATATTTTACCTAGGTTTATTTCAGTGGACAGGATTGCAAAGAACTTCTTACACGCCGGAGGTTCCCACAGGAAAGTCTATAGAGAGGGGGGGCTTTGGGGGAGCAAAGCCATGCAGAGGAGAGAGGGGCTGCACAGGGGCACATGCAGAACATCTCTAATTCAGCTGTGTTCCTATAAAGTGGAGTGGTGCTATGAAAAACACAAGCAGTAAGCAACACAATAAAGCAAGAGTGCTGTGGGAGCTTGTCTAGAAATTGGTGACAACATACTGCTCCCCCCTGCCTTTTTTATTTCTGTAATCACCTCTCCTCTGAGCTGTCGTGATAGCCAAAGACAGAAAACACCAGTGCATCTAAGCTGGCCCTTCTTTCCAGGACAGTGCCATGGTCTCCAGGCCTGCCAGGTGGCAGCAGATGGCTCTTTCTTTGGAGATCCTTGTCCAGCTTCGGGAAGCTATTTGTCTATTCAGTACTACTGCAAGGAAGGTAAGTGCTGGGGCTGTCAACACAAAAACCTGCTCTACATCTTGCTGTAACACTGTGGCTGTTGCCAATTATGTTAAAAATAGCTGGTCCATCCTCAAAGAAAGAGTTGGAAGCATGGTCCTCTGGAGAAAGTGACCATTAAAACTATTCAAGACATAGAACTGTGGTCTCACAGTCCCAAGTGACAGCTCCACAGGGTTTTGGATAAGGCTACAAAGCCAGGAGGTTGTTGAGACACATTGACACCCTTGACTGAAATTATGTTCCAACGAGAATCCTGACCAGTATTTTTGGAGAATAATTGTCACTAAAGCATTCAAAGTGGTAGCAGTATCAGCTCTGTGTTGGAGAAAACTAGCTCTCAACACTATATGGAAATTAATTTAATTATGCATGAAATGCAGACAAGCAACGGCGCTGAACTCTGGCATTACGTCTTGCAGGTCTGCAGCTGGCTGTAAGGGGGGCAAGCTTTGCCTCTGAGGACATCACACTCGCTTTGACCTGGATGCTCTCTCCATACTCTGGCAACCTCTCATGCATCATTAGCACTGGAGATGGACACAGTATTGATCCCTATTACCCTCCAATGTAAGATACATCTTTTATCCATCATTAGACAACCAGTAAATTTCACTGCCTGCATTTCTTTGAATGCTTTGTGTCTCTTAAATGAGATGTTAAAAATTAACTAGATTAAGAATAGATACAAGAGAGCTGGATTTTGCAGCAAGTCACTGTGAAATTAATATACAATTTTATATCAAGCTGCCAACCACATACTTTCCTCTGCTTACTGTAATAAGTGATTCCTATTTCCTGCTAATATAATTTAATACAGATCCTGAAGGCACAAAATTACTGGAAAACTTTCAGTAACTACCAGAGAAACTTTTTTTCAGTTTAAAGAATATTTTTATATTTGATAACATTTACAATAATATAATGGAATTATATGATTATGGGTGTTACTTGTTTTATTTTAATTCAATGAAAAATGTGTCTTTGAAAGATCAAACATTTTTCTGCTCTTTTGTACTGTCCTAGTGCTCAGAAAGAAACTCTATGAATCTAGAAATGTATTTGTCCACTAATGAAATCCTCTTTTGACTGAACGAGGAAAGTAAGAGTAGAAGGAAAGAAAAACAAATTACTAATGTGCTACAAATACCAGACATTCTTTCAGAACTACAGATAAAGGCCTATAGCTGTAAAGAACTTAATTTTTTTAAAAAAAGGAAAAAATATTTTTCTTTTAGAGAACTTTTAAGTGTAATGTATTTGCTAGCTGCAAGCAGAGTCTTGTTTTTATAGTTAACTCTACTATTTCACCACCTAAAAGGCTACCAGTCATGTTCACCTGTTTTCTGTATCCATTTTGATACCTTTTCTGGTGTTGTCTTGACACTGGCAGGTTTTTGAAGTCCAGTTTGAATTAAATACTTTCCTTGTTAAAACAGCTAATGAAAAATATGTATGATCAAGAGTCTTGATCTTTGTTTGCATTTGTTAACTTGCACTATGATAAGAATATAAGTGGTTCAGAAAGAAAAATATCAGGAATGTTATTTATTTGCCTTTCATGGTGTATCTCATTCAAGAAGAATATCCTTAGATTCTCCTTAGCATCTCTCTATACTTGTTAGTAATCCTGGCAGCTACAGCAGGCTTCTTCCTTATCCATTCATCTCCTATTGCTACTACTACTGGAGCTGCAACAGACCCAGCAGGGCACGTACATTTTCGTTAGCATGAACAAGTATAGAAGCAGCTGCACATGAAAATAAAAAAGCAAAGGAGCAATCTGTCAACGTGGTGAACAGCCTCAGCTCCCACTGATGTAACTAAGAGAAGGTAAATCAGGGAATAAAATATGGAAAATAGATAGAAATTAAGGGCAACTTTACACGGGGTAGCATCTACAATCATATGTCTGTGTTCAGATCCAACAAGACACAAACCAGGTCTGGTGGAGACTGGTGCTGAAATGTAATCTACCTGCTTCACAGCAACGTGTATTCATCTCCAGAGACACTTCTGGAATGTCCACCCCAGATATACAGCCTTAACGACTCCATAGCTGGAACAAAGAATCAATCTTTAACCCTAAAAATGTTACATAAACACACAAGGATTAAAGTGATTGCATTACAGCTGAGTCAGATCAGAGGTTTGGGAACTGTGACCACTCTTATCACACAGTGCTCAAGACTTCTCAGGACAACCCTCTGCAACAAGTTCTCTTTGTATCCTAGGCTGGTCAGCAACGTCACACACACATATTCATCTCCCGGAGAGTTTACTGTTTTTGTGGAATGTACAACCAGCGAATGGCACGTGACAGCTCAGAAACGGGTGACCGTTCAGGATAAGAGGGATCAACTTAGCATTACTGGGTGCTATAGCCAGTATGAATCTGGAAACAGCTCTTACTGCCGCACTCTATATGGAGAGTTGTTATGGATTCAAGTAGAACTCAGTGGAGGTAAGGTAATTATTCTGCATGTTTAAGTGGCAGACTAATAACATAAATGGTATGTTACCCATAAAAAGAAGCTGATTTTTATGACACAATACCTTTTTTGACACGATACCAATAAACAATATCTTGG